CCGCACGAACTTTCTACATTGAGTTCATCCTTGCACTCATCTTTTTCGTTTCATGTTTTCATATTCCTTAATGGGTCGGTACTCTTTTTTTTTTCTACGGGGCGCTGAACACGGGGATAATAAACGAGTCTCCGAGCAACGATACCCTGTTATATTATGTTTTTGTTTTTGACATCGTTGTGTTTAAGCTTAGCGTTGCTTACCCACTACGACGGTATATGAGTCGATGGGCTATGGAACTTTTGATATATTTGTCTTTATGGTTATCATTTCGATCTGGTTGAGGGCCGAGCATACGACGTTTGATACCCTGTTTACCTCCTTTATTTTCCAGGTCTTCTCATCTGATATTAGCCATTTTTTCTTTTTTTTTTTTCTTTTTCTTTTCTTTTTCTTTTCTTTTTGTTGGTTGCTGGTCTAAACCGGTCTTGAGCGTTTTGACTTTTTCTGTGATCTCTATCCATGTCTTATGCCTATGCATATACCATTGATATATATAGCCTCCCGTGGGACTACTGAGGATGGGACTACAAGTCGGCCACTCTGATGCAAGTGCTAGAATACGATGACCTTGCTACCTCAATTTGATCTTCCATGTAGGAGTCGTACTTTGTCCTACCTTGAACACTAGGTATCTGAGTTGTTCAACTCTTATCAACTACACCAGCAAAGCTACAACAGCCACTCAACCCCTGGCACCTTTGGAGACCACAAGCACATTTGGTAATCAGCACTCGGTAGTTACTGAAAGTCGCCACATTAACCGAGAATGAGACGCTTAGCCACCACCTTCCCTTCCCCCTTCCCCGGTTCCCAGGAACCTGGTAACCATCCCACGGCTGTTGAGGTCATACCTAGTTTTGGCAGGGAAGATCACCTGGACCGCTGTTTCGGGTCGATATAAAATCTTTGATTGGATGGGTTCTGTCAGCCAACCAATAGCCCAGGTGGCGGACGGGGCCGGGAGTCGTCCCTGGGAATTGTAATTTCGGTAGTAATTCCAAATCGGGAGTTGCATCGAAATTTCCAGATCGAGAATACACACCCCACGCTTGGATCGTATGGTACGTATGTTTGTCGTGCTTTGACCTTTTCGTAAGTACCGCTAGTTAGGAAATCGGAAGCGGAACTTGAGCAAAAATACGTCACGTACAACTCTAATTGTGTCAAGCTTATCGAATCTTAAGCGCGAAGTCTATGTTGTAATGCTGAAGGATATCTTTCAAGACTAGCTTTAAGAGGCTTATTTCGTTGCCCTTTGCGATTGATGTCATCTGATAACACGGTTACTTTCGCTATGTGTGTTGAGGACCCGCAAACACGGTTGTATTATCCGTGGCTCCTATCTCGTTCCCGAATACTACCTTAAAATAAGCGAGATTGATTTCCCACTATCACTGACGCTGTACGGGGTACAAGTGTGCATGAGAGTCTGAGCGCCTGCCGTCATAATAGTCTGAGCGCTTGCAATGCTGTGGATAGCTGCAGATGCTGAATATCACTTCCTAAAGTAGAGAGGTAATCGGCGTTTTGTCTGTAATGATTGGCCTGCGCAACAACGATCTAGTTGCGGTGGAGGCTGATGATGTAGTGAGGGGTGAATTAACTTTGGTGGCAACAGAGTGGAGGTGGTCTACCGTCGACGGTGTAGACAAAAAATGAAAGTGGAAATAATTTATTTTGGCCCCACTTCTGAAGAATATGACATCATATGGCTTGTGCGTGTATCAAAGTGTGCTTGAGAGTCCAAGTAGAAGTAGTTTAAAATGCTGGAATTGTGAAATCTGTAGCCATAAATTTTGGATATCTGTAGCAATTGACCACGGATGTCAGTTTCCCGATCGGGGTGCCGCCGCTTATGTGGGGTCCTGCTCCCGAGGTCCCGAGGTGTGATTACTCAAATGGATCGTACTTCCAGTTAGTAAGCAATCACCCAATGTAACTAACTATCCGGATTACAAGGTCAAGAAATTCGGATAATACTTCAAAGGCCATGGAAGCTGCCTACGACTAAGTCGTTCAGTCTGACACGTCAGATAACAAGTGAAGCAAAAGTTAGCCAGGGGATACCTTTCGCAACAGGATGGCCACGCGAAAGCCACCAGCCTTGACCGACCTTCCAGCTATTATGGATGATCTCTGAGCACTTATCACCAGTCAACCTTGCTTGTCTGGTATTAGGCAATCATCATCTGCTGTGTTCCTTTTGCTAGGATTGTTTTTTGGAACTTCTCGAACGGCCGCACCGGAAATGACATAGATATCAAGCTGCTATCTCGGCTTTCTTACGACCTACCGCAATACCATCTCTGCTTCATCTGCCTCCGACTTTATTTGTGGAAAAGCACTAAGCTACCAAGTCACTCTACTAATATGAAATATCGGTACCTTCAAAGACCTCTACCTTTCCATTTCGTTCAATCTTCAGCTTGTGATGAGAGGGTTCTACTAAGGACCGGTTTTGGAATCCCCGTTCAGTCATTGCTCTATACGGAGATAGGAGCTGGTCGAATCTGATCCTGAGCCCCGCCCTGGTTACAATCCCCCGTCAACAAAACATCAGAAGAAGATCCCCCGAAAGATGTTATGATGACAATATTCTGCTGAAGCTCGAATTTGCTCCATGCCTCCGGGCCTGTGCTTGTGAACGCATGAAAGAGCCGTAGTAACACGTACCGCGAAAATGGGCCCATGATTAGTGACCTGGGCTTTATCGACATCTTCACCTCTCAAATTGAGCGTTATTGCTCTAGCACAAGCATAGCGAAACAAGCCGACCAAGGGAGTTGTGATAAATGTAATACTCTTGGAAGTTGGAGATACGAACCCTGGATGAAAATCATGCAAGCCTCACTCTTACCCGGTGGATGGACTCGAGCACCGGGACTGCGCCCAGATGATGCTCAATGGAGGTGTGTCGCCTTGGTATTGAACTACTGATTAATTCAATCATGAAATAGTGGACTCCCGCCTGTGGTTTGAGAGGGACTCTGCTCAGGCTAGCTCTTTAAATGCATTGTCTGAGGATACTATGTATTGCCGGAACATTTCTTTGCTACAAGGGAAGACATATCAAACAGTGATGACTCCAGTGCACGGTGGAATCTACTTATTGCGCGGAGAAGCAAAGACAAGTTCTTCTCGCTGTATCATTCTCCGAAGAAAGCAGCAAGATAACTAGAGTGCCCAATGTTGTTTAGGCAATATGATCACCTATGGGGTGCATCTACATTCGTTCGATAACGCTGTCATATCCGCAAAGATAGTTTGCTGAAGTCAACTCCGTCAGTGAGACTGGAAGTTTAAGCTATGCAAGCGTATTTCGAGGCCTTACAGAAGCGTATTGATACCACATCTTCCACTGGGGGAAAGTTCCTAATCCTGTCAGGCTTCTTATCCTTCCATCCGTGGTCCTGGAATTTAAGTAGCAGCAAGTGACAGGCTAACACGATACTCTAAACATGAAGCACTCTTCATTCCTAAGTGACCTATCATTTGCACCTCAACAATAACAAATGAAGCCCATCAAGCCCTGGAGCGCAAGGTGGCTAACTATATAGGTGTGCGTGTGGTTAAAATAGGAAATCATAACAGGGTCCAAAACAGTAAACGGTAGTTGAGGTAAAAGTGCCAGGGTCTGGTTGGCGGGTCTGTAATTTACATACGTAATAAATAATAATGGTTCCAAGGGCCGGTTCCAAGGTTAATATGATATATGGCCTATTTCGGCTACCGCATGTACTACGCGGGTCGTCCCGCTACGTGACCGCGTCGGGTCTAGGGTGGTTCTGGTTACATACCGCACATTTCCCGAGTATTTTGAAATACGTAACGTCTGTATCTGTTTACCCTAGTATTTTTTAGAATACAATTATACAACGTTGGACTCTGATTGGAATCTGTGCTTATAATAGCGGGTAGTAGCGGGTGTTTAAATTATTACGGAGTAAATAGACGTTGCACTTAATCTGAATGTCATCTTTCTCATAGTCAACCTTGACATTATATGTGATAATCATGCCCTATGTCGTGTCACCATTGCCCCTGACCTGATCTGTCCTGACAATATAGCATAGATCGTCCTTGGCACTAGTATAGGGCTGTTCTCAGTCAAAATAGAACCCCATTGTAGATTTGCGAATAATCGACAACTTTCGAGGCTCAAGTGATATCCCACTTCGGTACTTGACCTTCTCGCAGTGTCTGACCTAAATCTAGGTTGTCATGCCAATGATAATCGTTACTTCAAAGATATTAAAAGCCAATATCCCTGCAATGTTTTACTACATTGTCCTCTATTTAAACTTAATTCGGGATCTCTATGGCCATAATAACCATAATAAAAAGCAGAGCTATACCTGTTTACCTTTGCAGTTCTGTTAATGTGGCACATCGACCATTGTCTGTGAAACACCAACCTCTTGATAGAAATAGTTCCGTTCTTCCGAGAGTAGTAGAGGGCTGGTTTTGAGTTGATCCCCGGATATCAAGTCCTTTACTACAGTCTACGGCATGAACCTGCTGAATGAAACCCCCCGATGTTAGGTAAACGGCCTTTGTTTGCATCCAATTTAGTATATGAACTAAATTCAGACTGTCTCACTTAGGTTGTACACCGATGGTTGCCGGTACACCTAGTTTAAGGTTCTATTCGAGTCACACATGGAGGTGTAGTGTCCAAATTATATCCCAGGAGTGGTGCCTTCCAGGGTTGTCAAGTAGCTCACTATAGCCGTAAACGGCAGTCGTGACTTCCTTGTACGTTTGCCCTAAATATGGACAGCACGTGTTCCCCCCCCCCCCGGTTCCTTCCTGAACAGCTGGGGACTTTGTTTACTATTTCTTCCTCCAGCTTCCTCTTTCTTTTCTCCTCTGTTCTCTCCTCTTCCACTTTACGTTCGTTCCCCTTGTTCCTCAATTGACCCTCGTTTTATCGATTGCTTGGTTATTCCATCAAGTGATCACTTCACATTCGTTTATCAACCTCCATCTTCGCCAAGATGGTAGCTTGGATGCGTTTCAAGTTGCTTCTGGCTATGGTCACCGCTCTGGTGACTATGGCTGCTGCTTCAGCTGGTAATTATCATGGCTGATAATTACTCTATGATCACTTACTGACCTTGTTGCAACAGAATGCCAATACATCGAGACGGTCTTTCTTCAGGACCCCCACACTGGGGAGCAGTATCAGTTTGGTGAAGGTAAGTCAAACCTGCTATCTGGGCTTGCCTAGAAATATGCCGTTACTGATCGATTTTCACAGTCAACGTTCTGCCTCGGGCCTTGTTTGGTCGTGCTGTTCACGCTTCTGAACTGAGTAAGTCCAGGCTCTTGCCATCCTCGCCTCTTTTCCAGACCAAAAACTAACTTGGTACTAGTCACTGTCACGGTTACCCATACCACCTGCGATCCTGATGAATCGACCACAACTGTCACCACAGATGTTCCTTGTACGACTGTCCAGTCTACCACACTTCTCACCACAGAGACTACTTCAGTCCCGGCTCAAAGTACCCCTGCGCCTGGTGTTTCTCAGTCTACTGTACCTACCACCTCGTCAACTCCGGTGCCTGTTAACACTCAGACTTCCGTGCTTATTGTCCCTAGCGCTACAAAGGTGACCACCAAGTCTTCTGCACCTGGCACAACCCAGAATCCTGTGCCTGGCACCACTTTGGTGACCTCGCAGTCTTCAGTACCCGGGACCGCTCAGACCCCAGTGCCCAGTACTACCAAGGTGCCCATTGGAAGCAGCCCTGTAACCAACCCTGGATCCTCCACGGTTACTGCCACTACCACTGAGTCGGTTTCTTCTTCCAGTCCTAATGCTACCAGCGTGGCTCCTATCCCTGCCACTACCGAGATCCCTGGAACTACTGGGTCTATTACATCTACTCGTCCTACCAATGTGGTTCCTGTCCCTGGTACTACTGGAATTGCTTACACAAACTCAACTGTTCCTCAGGCTCCCAGCACGGTGACTGATGTGACCACCTTTTACACTACGTCTCCTTGCCTCAACTCAACTGAGCTGGCCCCTGCTCCGGTGACCACTGAAATCACCATTACCGTTGAAGTTCCTTGCACCGAGACCACCAAGTGTGTCAGCACCAAGATCCTTACCACCAGCACCCTGCCGGCCTTGAACACAACCGTTCCTGCTTCCGTCCCACAGGCCACTACGACCACCGAGATTCAGTCAACCATTTCTGTCCCTGTCCCGGTTACCACTGAAGAGGTCACTGTCACGGTTGAGATCCCTTGTACCGGGACCACCAAATGCACCAGTACTAAGGTGTACACCACCATCCCTACGGAGACTACCACTATCTCTGTGACTCCAGTCCCGATTACAGCTCCACAGCCCACCACTGAGGTGGTGACTGTGGTCCAGCCGACTGTTCCTGGTGCCCCTGCAAAGGAGACCACCGAGGTTGTGACTACTGTGATTCAGCCCACTGTTTCGCAGGAGACCACCGAGGTTGTGGTGACTACTGTTATTCAACCAATTGTTCCTGGTGCTCCCCCACAGGAAACAACCACGCTTGTGACCACTGTGAACCAGCCCACTGTCCCTGCTCCTGTTCCCCAGACTTCTACCCACGAGGTGACTACCGAGATCAAGCCGACTGACTTGGTCCCACTTCCGCACGCCACCACTGTCGAGGCTACTTCTCTGGTCAAGGTTCCTGCTCCTTCTACGCAGCCGGCTACCACTCAAGAGACCACCGAAACTCAACCAGTCGCTGCGGCCCCGACCACTCTAGCTACTTCTACTGTCTCTAAGCCTGAGGCTGAGAGTACCACAACCGAGTCCAAGGTTTCAGTTGTGTCTCCCCAACAGCCTACTCACACCCAGGAGGATACTGTCCTGCCATCTCCTCATGGCACTTCTTCCAGTGGTACTCACCCCGCTTCCCCTGTTTTCAACGGTGCCAATGCCGCTGCAATCATGGACAGCCGTGTCTTTACCATGAGCATTGTGATTATGCTCTCTCACATCTTTCGCTTGATTCTGTGAGAACGACATACACTCTTACCGTGTTACGAGGCAAGTCCAGCCATCATCTGATGTAGCAAGGATAGTATCTGATGCGATGACTGTGTTCGTGATGGAATTTGAGGAACCCATGGTGTTGATGGGTGGCCGTGTTTTTTTATGGGATGCAACTGGCTCCCCTTAATCTTGCAAATTTTATCAGTCACTCATATTCTAGTTGAAGCATAGCTTTCCTAATCTCACAAATGTTCACTATTGGTTGTGTCTAATGATAAAGAAAGTATCTTGTAGTCTGTAATCTGCAACCGAATGGCAACTCCAAGGGACAACATAGCTGACCGAACAGTATTCGGGCAGTTATATTTCGGCTGTGAAACAATTACAATGGACAGAACGTAATACGTATGCTGTGAGCATCAAAGCATTGAACATAACACATCTTTATCAATAAACAACGGCCAGTGTGATAACCTCACAGAATGGATGAATGCCTAATATCCCCAAATGGGGATAGTAGCTTGGCTAAAGCCAGGGTATCTCAGAGAAACAAGGAGAATGCATAGGTATGTGCACATGGAGTATACACACAGGACAGAGGTGAATGGGTACAGATGTCCCTACCCCAGTAGAGTTCAAACCTTAACCTCACCACCAAGAGATTCAATGTCTCGCGTCAGAGCACAAATCCGACATCCATCACCAATCTTGTCCCGCAGGATTCTTGCCGTCGTAACCTTGGGGCCAACACTGCGAGATGCAGTGGCAGACCGGGTCTCGTCGACTGGAGACATGGCTCGGGGTGTAAGATCAGCAGATCGGTCACGGCTGTTTGCGCCAGATTGTTGTGGCGTGTCTGAGTGCAAGTGGGATAGATGGAAAATGTGGCCACAAGCAAAGCCAACGAGAATTTCTCGCTCTGCATGGGGGTTATTATCAGCATTGTTTTTTTTTTTTGGGATGAAAGGAGTTGGAGTCAAAATCATACCGTTTTCCCGGAAAGCGGCTTTGCAACCGCCACATCTTCCCTGTCCAGGGCCTCCGAATTCTCTCGCACCATTGGTTTCAGATATGTGATCTTGAGCTGGGGCATTCATTGTCGGTGTCTTATTGGAATCTTTCTCTCTAACCTCGGTGACATCGAACCTGATTCCCCGCCGCTGACCTTTGCGCAGCGAGTCCATCCCAAGTGCAACTTCGCTTTGCATAACCCTAGCCGCGCCTTGACTAATACTAGCCTGCAGATCATGCTCACGGATCAAGCGGGTGAGGCCCTCTCTTAGACCTTCAATCTCTAGCCCGCTCGGGATACGACGCACAAGCTTTATCGGGTCGATGGCCGTCCCGGCCTCAACGAGAAGACCATGGATGAACTTTGGCTTGTCCATGGAGTAGTCAAGCAGATCCTCCCACAGATCGGGATCGTCCTGCGACTTTGCAAATGAAATGGCCTGTGAGACATCCTTGAGATCCGATAGAATCAGGTTCAAGGCTCGCTTTGTCTGGCCCATCTTGGACAAAAGGAAAATCAACTCTGGCGTGAATCTGTGGTTTTCGCAGATCGAGGTGGCTTTCTCGAACGAATAGGATATGCTTGTTTGGAGGAACTCCATCAGTAGAGGTCGGTCGTAGTCGGCAAATACCTCAACAGCCGTATCTGCAAAGTTATCAATCAGGGCTTTGCCTTCATCGGCAGCAAGCTTGCTGGCTGCATCCCGAGCATGCGTTCCACGTCCTCTTCTAGGTTTGTGAGCGTCCTGCGGTAATGATTCACCTCGCCAGAGCGCACGGAGATAGAAATAAAGGAACAGGAACCGGTCCGCGGCGACCAACTGTGATACCACGGTATCTGGGGGAACAATGCCCGTGTATGCTTCCCTTACGAGGAGTCGCGTGGGCTCAGAAGTCAGCTCCTCCAGTTCGAATTTTGTGGCAGACTTCATTTGCTCTTTGGAAACGCGAATCATGATGAAGGCCGGTATATCATCAGTGACTGCATCGAGCAATCGGTGTTCCCGAACCAAAGACATTGCCGCATCTCCATCTTGCAATCGAATGTAGCAACGCAAGGCTTCGCGGTAATGCCCTCCTGCCAGGAACAACTTGGCTAGGCAATCTGTGAGGATTCGCCATTCCTCAGAACCGGCGCGCACCGATCCGGATTTCACCTGTGCTTCGATGGATTCTGTGATCACGTTCGCATCAAACAAATCGGACGGCCATGTTCCGACCAGTTCTTTGAATTTGACCAAATCTCGTGACACATAGTGAGTGAGAATGACTTCGTAGATCTGACTAGGCAACGATGGATGTAAATCAACTGGAATTTGTGGAGTTATCTCGTCAATTTTATCCTTTTTGATAAAGACCCACGCCCAGTGTTCCCATCGTGAGGCATTGCGAATGACTTTGCCACAAATACTCGCAGCATGAATCCACTTCTCTTCGCTGACAAGTTGGTTGATCCAGAGTTCCCCAAGGCGAGCTTTTTCTTGTTCGGCAGCAGAAACTTGTCTTCTACCAGCCGTCGTCATGGATGATCGATCATCAGCGAAGAAGTCACCTAAACTGGTTTGCGACCTTGCAGCCTCGGACATAACGTCGGCTAAGTCAGGTATTGAGCCCGCAGCTTCGGGATGTTCATCGACGAGACGCCATGCGTCCTCGTACTGGCCATGAGAATCAAGCCAGGACAAACGGTCCGCAAGATCCCGTTTCACTGCAACAACACAGTCATATGGGCTGTGGACAAAAATTTTGGCACCAGGAGCACCTGAAACTTCCTGTACCTCCTTCGGAAGGGGCTCCTCAGTCGCGTGGATTTTGGACATGAAAGAGGGAGCAAATCTACCAGATCCCTTGTCCCCACTACTTGTGGTACTGCGGATACTGGCACCGGAGCTGAATAGCCGCGCAGAATACATAGTAGCATCCAAAATCCCATGACCAAGAGCCCCGAGGGCACCGCGCTGGACGACCTGTCCCCCTGGGGTCTTCCACGGAGGCAAGACACTTAGATGATAATCAGATGCCGAGAGACCCTCAAAGCGGTTTACTGAAAGTGTATCGGCGCTAATTTCTTCCTTGGTCTCAATGTCAATGACACGAAGTTCAGGTTCCAGGCCCTTTTTTCGATTGCGGGTCCCACTGCCTCCTCCGTTACTTGCAGTTTCGCCTTCGGTCTCCAAATATGCAAGAATGACAAGAAGACGAGGTGTATACAATGAGATGCCAGATACCACGCAGTCTGTTCGTAATCTGTGTTCAAAGTTAGCGATGAACGATACAATCCGTGAGAGTTCCAGCTCACATTGTAACAACCTCCGCAGAGCCCAATTTCTCTCCCTTGGATGTTTTGCTTGCCCTTTCGGGGTAGACATCAATGACCCAAACAGTTCCTCCCCACCCGACGACAAGCTTTTCCACTTTCTCAGTGAGCACCGTCGACTGTACCTCTGGACTTGCTGGACAGTCATTTGGATCGAGATGGTCCCGACTGTCTAGAGCGGACTGGTCGATCCATTCAGCGCGTGCCTTCCAAACATTGGCCATTTCGTCCCAGCCGGGACGATTTGGACGATCGATATGGCTGATTCGTTTCCAGGCAAATTCCGTCTCTGAAGAATCTAGATGTAAATTTGACCGCATAATCTTAATGCCTTCCTCGTTGACCCAGGCCACATAATTTCCCGACAATGACCATTTAATTGTGCTTATAGTCCCTTCGCCGCTGTGGATAATCGTGTCTTTTCCACTAGTGGCTGCTAGGCCCATGGATCCAAGCCAACTTGACGCCGTGGCGGCTGCACCCCCATTGTTGTAGAATTGGAGGTCGCCCCAATACGACCACCAGTTGTCAAGACCAATTCACCCGCTCGGCCACCAGACAGGAATGCCCGGTCATTCTTGTATTCGGGAGACAAAGCAATAGACTGGACTGGGCGGCCAAAATTGCGCAATAGCACATCCTTCGGGTCTACTAGCGATGAGACGCACACGTGGCCATCGATTGAGGAGGTCCCGATGTAAATCGAGTTCGATGGTAGAGGAAGGACGGTCGAATGATTACCCAGTTTTCCTTGGCCACGGATACTGCCAGTGAATGTTGATGCTCGCGTTGGTGGTCTGTATTCTTCTGCAGTCTGCTTGCTGAAGAGCTCTTGCTTGAAGTTCGGAAGGGGAGGCGGACATGGCGATATCGATATTGAGGTGACACTGGCTGAGTGTGCATGATATACACGGACGGATTGTAGAAGCGGTAAGGACATAACATGCTTGACAAGGTCAGCTCATATGTCTGCGCGCTGGTGTGCTAACTTACGACGTTTCCGTTGTGCGTCCCGACGATCTAGGTACCTCGTTAGCTCATTATAGTATAGGTCCCGCTAAGGATGCATACCATTTTATCCCCTGCTACGAGGAACGAGCTTGTCGCATCCCCGTTGCGATATACTGATCCCAGGTGCTTCGTAAGGTATGCGTACTTGAGGCGGGGTTCCTCGTCCTCGTCGTCCGAGTCATCCTCTCCTTCGGCCTCTTCTTCATCGGCCTCCTCTTCTTCTCCATCATCGCTGCTATTAGAGCTGTGGTCATTGAATCGTTGCTGTCTATCTTGGGCGCCTTGAGTCGTGTCTGTAGGTGATCCGGTTCGTATGGATGTGTCGTGCTTGGGAGTGCTCTGAATGGCACTTTCGTCCGGCGGTGTCGCGCCAGGCGCGTCCATGGCAAATCCCTCTCGCACCTGCAGCTCCCAAGCTAGTTGAAGTGGAATGCGACAAGCTGGAAACGGGATCCTGTGGTTCTACAGTTGAGCCGGGGTAGGTCAGTGCCCCGAGCTTGATTCCATGACTAAGCGGGCTATCGGGCCGCGGGCTGCAGGACGATGTCATCGACCGAGCTATTCGGGCTTTTTGATCCTCGGATACACACACACATACAATGTTTGCCAGGCCATATGTATGCTTGAACTGTTGCAGGCGCCCAATTTCACGGTTTCCTACGCGACCGCAGACCCAATTCCTTCATGCCTCTCCTAGACTAGCACTTCCCCGACGGAAGGATTTCTTTTCATCCAATGCCCACTTGAAACAGAAACAGAACGCCGATGAACCAATTGAATCCTCTCCGGATTCCCGGAAGCAACTTCGACGGGGTCCTAGGTCACCAGCAGCTCCCACTTCATTGCGGCGGGTAGCGGTAGAGGCACAGAGGTCGAAGGATGGCATTATCTCCAAGGCGCTCCTCAAAGAGCAGGGGTTATATCGGACTAAGGTAGGCATGACTGTTTCTTCTACGATCTTCTTCCACTAATTATTTGTCGCTAGACAGTTACCGCCTACGCCGTCGCCGAACAATTTGACATCCGCAAAGTAAGAGATATCTTGCAAGAACGAGGATATGAACCGGACCCGTTGGAAACCGGGCTTTTCCCGCAGGTCGTTCATGTTCAGATACCTTTAGACTCCATACAGCGCATGACGAATCCCTCCGGCATAGATCTACCATCCGACGAAGTGGGCGATTTATTCGTGTTTCCCTCCGGTACTGTGGTAGCGTGGGGGCTCCCAGAAGGATTCACATCATTCCTGGCAACGCGGACTCTCTTGCCCGCAGCACAAGGTGCCCATGTGGATAACCTGGAAACTGAGGATCTCGAATTCGTGGAGGACCCGAAGCGAGAGAACAGTGTGATCAAAGGTGACACGATTATACTAGGCACCAAACCAGGTCACGGAGATGCGGAGGGATTACCAGCGGCGCAACAATCCATCAACACGGTGTTGACCAAGATTGCATTTTCGTCAGGTCTCGCTCGGAGTACGAAGTTGGCCGTCCTCGAGAGCCTTCTTTCGAACTATTTTGAATCGACTCGGCCAATTCCGACTCTTCTATCAAAGGGATCCCGTCTTCCTTTTACACGAGACTTTATCCTCCGGAAGACGGGGCAGCTACTCAGTGTCCGAGCCCAGCTCAATCTCTATTCCGAGCTCACTGATTCCCTTCCCGATCTCTTTTGGGACAGCCGACACGAGCTCGGCTTGGAGGGATACTACGAGCAGGCTGGCAGAGCTTTAGATGTTGGAATTCGCATCAAACTGCTGAACGAGAAGATGGACTATGCGCAAGAGATCGCAAGTGTACTTCGGGAGCGCCTTAGTGAGACACACGGTCTGCGGCTCGAATGGATTATCATTCTGCTCATTACCGTTGAGGTTGGCTTTGAAGTATTACGACTGTGGAAAGAAAGAGCACATAAACAGGAGGAGGCGCGCAAGCAGGAGGCCTAGGTCACCCGAGGCCAGAAATGACAGGCGCGAACTCAGTGTGATTATATTGCCCGCGATACCCCTTCATTTTCAATATTAGACGAGTGCAACATAAGAGAAAATGCTGCTGTCGTGCAAGTAATCAAAGCCAGGTGACTCGTGGGCCGACTCCCCTTATCAGCCCGGCTGTCCCCGCGCTTAGTCATATAAGACTCCGCACGAGGACAGTACTCGTGGACGCCGACAACCATTGTAGCCTCCTTAACATACCTATCCCTCGTCATAATACGATCTTCCTAGTACACACCTACTTGTCTATTCTTATATTCATCCTCTGTTTCAATTCGACAAGTTTGTTCCCTGAAATCACGGCAAAATGATACCAGCGATGATGCGGGGATCGTCACAACAGCTCATGGGGATTCCCGGACCCCAGAAGATCCTCAAGACCGTCGGCTCACTCTGGCTTTCGCAAACTTCAAATGAGAGTGATAATCTCAGAACTTCATCATCATGCCCTCTCTCGGAAATTAGTTGCCAGGCCAACTTCCACGGTCAAGACACCTGCTGTTTCAATTACCCCGGTGGTCAAATGCTGCAGACGCAATTCTGGGATGTCGATCCTCCACTCGGTCCTGAAGATGCATGGACTATCCATGGACTATGGTGAGTCTATATCATATCCCCAGGTTGAATGATATCAAACTAACTCTTCAGGCCCGATCACTGCAACGGCGGCTTTGACCAATTCTGCGACTCCAAACGCAAGTACAGCAACATTTCTCTGATTATAGTGGACGCGGGCCGGGGCGACTTGCTTGAATACATGAGCGAGTATTGGAAGGATTTCCGGGGGGATGATAACAATCTGTGGCAACATGAGTGGAACAAGCACGGCACTTGCGTCAGCACCCTGGAACCAGATTGCTACGAGGACTATCTGCCTCAACAGGATGTCGTGGACTACTTCGACAAGACTGTTGAGGTTTATAAGGAGTTGCCTTCCTATGAGGTTAGTTTGATCCTGTCGATTAATGACCGACTATATTCGGATCAAACCACTAACCATGCATAAGTTCCTGGCCAATGCTGGCATCATACCATCTCAAACACAGACCTATGCTCTTGCCGATATTGAAGCTGCACTAGAACAAGCCCATGGAGACCCGGTCACTATCCGTTGCCGAAATGGTGCCATCAATGAGATTTGGTACTATTTCAATATTGCAGGAAGTCTCCAATCAGGGGAATTCATCCCTGCTGGACCAGGTCGGTCAAACTTCAAACTCGCGTTGGTAGATCGCAAGCTTACAAAATAGTCAGATGGCCAGAAGTCCAATTGCCCTTCCAGGGGAATCAAGTACCCACTGAAGCATGCTCGGCCGGAGCCGACCCGGACGACGACCATAGGTAATCCAGAGCCCACGGCGCCAGGAACTCCATTTGCAGGCCGAGGTAACTTGATTGTTGAGAGGCTTAACCGAAAGCATGGCTGTATCATCAGCTTCGGAACTTGGTTTTCTTCAGGGACCTGTGCGACTTTCCGGGCCGAAAAGCTATCAGGTTCGTGACCGTGCTTTCCACACATGACACCTCTGCTATTGTTTGCTAACGTAAAGTATCCTTCAGGTGATGTATTTACTCTGAATTCTAGCAAGGGGCCCTGTGCCTTCGAGCGAGACGCCCTTACTTGCGGACCACACGTCAACAAGCCCAGCGAGTTCACCGTATGTTCATCCCAGAAAATCTTACAATATATCATCTCATCTTCTCACACTGCATACAGGCCAAGGATGGTAAACTCGCCTACAGTGATCACACTACTTTCTATGCCCAAAATCCTCCCAAGGGGCGTACACAAAGTAACGTGTATGCTTCGCAAGGGGGACGGCCTATTGAAATTGAGATTACCTGGGTCTCGAAGTAGATGGGTTATCTCTACTATTGTTTCATTCGCTACCCTGGTGAAACATAGGTCGGCCTATCGGTGTGATGTTGCACAGAAATCCCTGCATAGAATGGAACGAGGGGACTGTCAGACGATTCCTTAACGCAAAATAATTAGAAATATCAAATAGAAAGCGCGGTGCTTGGAGTAGTATGTTAATATATGTCATTTCTTGCGTGAACGGATATTTTGTATTCCGAAACTTGAGGGTGCAATCGGTAGATTGAGGGAAGGTCGCTAAAATGCAGACTATTTGTACTTTTCTCTTGGGATCTCTTATATTCTGGTCTTCTTTTCACCTACAATTCTACGATGAAGGCTGTGACGGGTTATATGGAGCCAGATGAAAGCTGTAGGCATAGCACGTTTGAGATGGTAGAGTACAAGCTATCCGCAATTATGTCTGTCATCGAAGGAGAACAGTCCTTAAGCAAGCAATCCTTGACAGGGTAGGTACAGAAGAGATTCATTGAAAATAAAGACGTCAAATACATATCGCATCATGAAGTGAGTGAACATATGAAAAGAAGGATAAACACCTGGAATAAACACGCTGCCGTGTATCGAACATCTTCGAAGAGATGAGATAAGGCCGAAAGAACGTGAATAAAAACAATCATGACAAGACAAAAAAAAAAAAAACAACAAGAAGAGACAAATACATGGGGGGAAATAAGGGGCAAAAAGCAAATAGCCCGAAACACTCGCAAGTCCGCAAAGTCGTTTCAAGTCCCGAAATGTGTGCAGAGAAAGAAAACGCCCTATTTTATCGTGGGTCATTAAAGTGTACAAGGTCGTCCCGGATCGTCGCAAAGCAGTGTCGCCGTGAAGAAAATGGTAAGCCACGCCGTATGTGTCGTCGCTCTTTTTTGTAGTAACATAGCCGTTCAAGGGTCCACTAGGAACTCGCTGGACAAGCAGTCGATTGGGTCCGTCAGATCATCAATACCAGAAAAGGTCTTCTCGGGATAATAGGACGAGACAGGGGCGAAGTCGGTTGCATCGACGAATTGATAAGTCGGGAAACCAGGGATGCCCGAGTGAGCGAGATGGCCGAACTCCTGTCGCAAGTCCTCGGAGGGATCTTGGGTCATGAAGATATCGATCTCCGAGCTGACGGATGATTCGGCCAGAGTGGGCGCCGAGCGAGGAGAAGACATCTCCCGAGGCGAGAGGGCAGATTCACTATAGAGAGATTCCTGCGAGTAGGTGGATTCCTGCGAGTATGTCTGCGAGCTGAAATTCGATGCGTACTGAGCCATTGCCTGTTCGTATCTAGCGTGGGCGAGTTGAGGTGGTGACAAGGGCAGCATGTCATCCTCAAGCCGGGCATTCACAGGGTTGTAGGTGTGGCATGGCGGGGACATTGTGTGGTATCTGTCTCCGGGAGAGGTGGGCGGCGTATACGATGAGACAGCACTGGACGGGGCATAGTTGGGCGAGTTGAACACGGGAGCATCTTGCAGAGTGGCATGGGTCTGGGCTGAAGCGATTGAGGTGGATTTTTCAGCAACACGTTGACGAGTACGAGTGGACTTGGCCTGGCGAGTATCGAGATCCGGACGGCTGTTCTTCTTCTTCGGGGGGCGACCGCGCTTGGTGGTCTTTGGAACTACACCGGTGAAGCCTCCAACACACATATCGCGCTGGCGGTGACGAGTTAGGGCATCCTGTCGAGCAAAGCTGGCGCCACAGGCACAGGCGAAGGGCTTATTGCCACTGTGTGTCTTGAGATGGCGCTTGAGATCGTGTCCGCGCACAAAGTGCTTTTCGCAAATGTCGCATTTGAATTGACGGTCTCCGAGGTGTGTTTGGACGTGGGACTTGATGTTTTCCTTGCGACCAAAGCGGCAAAGGCAGCCTGTAAATAGACAGACCCACTTTCCATCTTTGGGGTCGGGGCCGGAGATGAACTTGGCAATCTCGTCAGTCGAAACGCCGGTTTCCTGGACTGAAGCCTTGACTCGGGCGTCAAGGTCATCATCGTGAGCGGCTAGCTCGTTGGGAGACGACACAGTAGACGGGGCACGTTTTTTGGTTCTGCCAGTGGAAGATGTGATTGAGATGTTGGAATTTTGAGGCGTCATTCCATATGAACTCGGGGATGGCATATTGGCAATTTCGGTGAACGTGCTAATCGGGGAATTCACCGGAGAGGGCATTTGCTGCTTAATCTGCACAGAATTGACATAGGGGGCTCCTTGGAAAGACTGGGCTCTCTGCATCTCAGCAGTAGCAGGGTTATGGGGGAATGAGAAACTTTGGGACTTGGAAGGTGTTGGGACATTGCTGTACATGGAATAATCAATAGATCTTTTCAATGGGGTAGAATCGGGGGTCAAGGGGGAGTCTGGCATATAATAGTCAGTTTCGGTCGGGTTAAATTCAACATAAAGATTCATACAAGCAGTAGACATTTGCGAAAGAATTTTCGCAGACGGAGCCTTTGGTTGAACAGAGACTGGGTGCATCGGTCCGGCATAGGCCGTCACCTGCTCGTTTTGGATGATTGGCATGTTGCGCCGAGAGTACAATTCCCAATCGGCATTGCCGACATATTGTTGCTGTTGTTGGTTTGAAAATTGCTCTTGCTGCATACGGTGCAGCGCACGCTTCAATGGTGTATTTTCGGAGCTCTCACTGGCTGATCGGGACAAGGCCGGAGCACCGACGGAAGAGGGCGCCGGGCTGCCAGTGGTGGTGTGGATCGCTTGCAATTGTTCTTGGTTGAAAGCCTGGCAGTCAGACCCGAGCGACTGTTGTTGATATTGATATGGCTGCTGCATGTGCATGCCATGTGGGATGAAAGACTGCTCGGGCTGCTGGGCATAGGATTGATACTGCTGTACATCCCTCGGTTGATATGAGAAACCTGATTTTTCGTTAAAATAATCTCGCAACTGCGAGACCGTCTTCGGCATGTGTCGGTCGACATTGGGCTGTTGACTGAAGGAGGTGTAGTCCACAGTCTGGCCTCGACGATGTGACCGATGGGGTTGCATATTGGTCATGACTGGTTGGTATGGAGCAACTGGGGTGGAGATTTGACGGCGGTGACGACCGGTTCCCAGCGCGTTGGAGTTCATGATTATATTGCCGCTTGACGGTTGGGTCCTGATTGAGGTGTCAGTATGTGAATATGAACGCAATGGGCACTAGGAAGAGGGAAAGTGGGAGGGTGTTAGAGGCTCAAGAGTATCAAGTGTAGAGTCAACCTATTCAGGTCACACAGTTCAAGTAGATATTCTCAATTGAACCTAGAAGAGCAGAAACACGAATGTATGAAGGTTTCCAAGGTTTGGTTCTGGAACCCCGATCTATGTGAGAGACCCGCGGTTCTCATCAACAAATTGGGGCGTTGGCATGGCAACGGCGGTGTCCGGGCGTCTGGGAAACCAAAGGCTTTGACGAAAAGTGGGCCAACCCTTGCCCGACTTCGATTTTCCCGTGGTGATCGAGGACCTTGCTTGTGATTATTCGACTTCTTCTGCAAGGGCAGCTAGTCCCTGTGATAGAATGCGTATAAACATACCTAGAATCCGTAAAATTGACACCTCCTCGGTTTCGTTTCCAAGGAGATTCGATATAAACAAGGTGATCTCGTACTATATAGACCTTGGCTCCATATATAGTACCCATAGCCCGATGGGCCGATATGGTGCCATGGCGTCATCTATGGAAATGATATTCGACCTGTCCAACACGGGATAATTATTAATGTAGAGGGCCTCAGGCAGAAATGATCTTCAAGTCACGTGTAGAGTCCCAAATCACGTGCTTCTTCTCGGTCAGCATTTCCTTTTACGCTAGACTACTTTCGGCACACGACCCACCCCACGTGATCGCACAACGATTTTAATCACCAACCGGCTTCCGCGCACAACGATCTTCTTTAATCTTGCAAGGTTGAGGAAGACACCACTGTCGAGGTGAGTCTTTGGTTTTAGGCCAGCAGATACGAATGTGATGACCATGCGCCAGTAGCATGTAGTCCATTCTCTCCTGACTTCTACATTTTCGTCGTCGCGAGCATCGCACTGACTTTTTTTCGCAGGCCTTCATCAAGATGCAGATCTTCGTCAAGACCCTCACGGGTAAGACTATCACCCTTGAGGTGGAGTCATCCGACACCATTGACAATGTCAAGTCCAAGATCCAGGGTAAGTGCCGAAGTCCGCGCGCAACGATCGCACACACCACAACCCGAGGCTCTAGACTAACCCCGCACCAGACAAGGAGGGTATTCCCCCTGACCAACAGCGTTTGATCTTCGCTGGTAAGCAGCTCGAGGACGGCCGCACTCTTTCGGATTACAACATCCAGAAGGAGTCGACCCTTCACCTCGTGCTCCGCCTGCGTGGTGGTGGTAAGAAGCGCAAGAAGAAGGTCTACACCACCCCCAAGAAGATCAAGCACAAGCACAAGAAGACCAAGCTCGCCATCCTCAAGTACTACAAGGTTGACGGTGATGGAAAGATTGAGCGTCTTCGCCGCGAGTGCCCCGCTCCCGAGGTATGTGATGACTCTGTCGCAAGACGATTACCCTTATATTCTGATTCGGAAACTAATTTGTCCTTTCTTATAGTGTGGTGCCGGTGTCTTCATGGCCGCTATGCACAACCGCCAGTACTGTGGTAAGTGCCACCTCACCTACGTCTTCGACGAGGCCAAATAAACGGTCTAAGTCGGACCGTGGTGTGCTGTCACCGAGCTTGGGCGTGGTTTCTGCTAGGCTAGGGCAAGTGACGGAGTGTCGCGGTCGACGCTGGTTGATGATGGTTCTTGGAATACCCATGTTCTACAGTCAATTACAAACAAAAACTAGGCATCCGCCGAAAACTTAAAACTTCCACGTAATGATAAGACTTGTATGTATTCGTAGACTTGGATATTGTCATATCCCGTCCGATCAACCACTATACTGCGAACAACAATGCATAAATCCGTGTAAGCCCTCACTCAACCTACTCTTCCGGGAACCCAGCTTGGACATTGGCATACTTGCTCTCGGGGAAATCAAGAGCATTACACGACTGATCCAAAGCGCCTGGACCACCCACACCATCAACAAAGATACCGATCAAACTTCCTTGCGCCGGATCAGCCTCCTTCCCACCCTTATCACCGCTACTCTCCCACCACATACCACCACCCAGTCCGCGCTCGCGAATATAGTTCGCCTTGATCTGCGCCATATAGGGTGTGTCGTAAGTAACCATCTTGCGCGCACCGGCATCATAGCAGAACGAGGCACCAGATTCCTGATCGAACTGCTTCTCAGCCCCGGGTCTGGGCAGTGCCTTGTAATCCCACACCCCGTTCTCCCAGCTGCCCTCTCCGACGCCGGAGAAGGGAGCGCCGGGTCCGTCGGTGTTCTCAAATGCACGTCCGTACAGCGGCATGCCCATGACGATGTTTGAGGGTGGTACGCCGCCGACGTTGATGTAGTAGTCTAGAGCATTGTTGATGGAGAACGGCGTGGATGCAGGGTTGGAAGCTGAAGGGACGATGTTCGCTTGATGGCCAGCGTTGCTGTCCCAGCTTCCGGCGAAGTCGTATGCCATAAGGTTGTAGAAGTCTAGCACTGGGGTCATGTCTCGGAATCTGAGCTTCTCGTAATTGCTCGGGCCTGTAGTAGTTAGTTTGATGGTTCAGGGCGCTTTTCTATCGCCGAGGATATGGTATAGACATACCGGCAGGGCAGGCGATTGACAAGTAGAAACGGCGATCGGGACCGGCCTCTCTATCAAGAACCTATTTCCGGTCAGTTGGGCCAATTTCAAAGAAGCAGAAGAACGATATACCTCTCGGCACTTCCGAAGCAAAAGAACTAGATGCTCAGCCTCGGTGTCATCTAGATATAAAATAAGCATGGTGCCTCCTTCGAGTATGTTCCGACAAACCCACCTTTAGGATATTCCCAATCAATATCAAGACCTAAGAAACAGTCAAAACCAGCATTTCACACCGTACGAGTCGAACCAACATACCATCGAATCCCAAATCCAGAACCAAGCGTGTCGCCGATTCGGCAAATGCAGTCCGACCCTCATGGGAACTCGCAGGCTGCGCGAAATTCGAGGAGTACGTCCAGCCCCCGATAGAAAGCAAAACCTTCAGCTTGCGGTTCTGCTTCTTAAGCAGGAAAAGCTGCTTAACACATCCGTACACATTGGTACCGACGTCATTCCACGAGTCTGTGGGGTAATGCTTCTCGACGTCGGACCAAGAGTCGGTCAAGTACCTGCAATTCTGGTCAGGAAATCTTCTGCAGTCTGTACGGATCAAAATCAGGACTTACACTTCGCCGCTTTCGGGGCGGATGTTGGCAAATGCATAGAGGATGTGTGTCAGCTTCTCCGCGGGTAGATCCTGCGGGTTGTAGTTGCGGCCGTAAATTGCCTATGCAGTATGTCAACATTGGTGTTTTTTTTTTGGTTGTATATGCAGCCAGTTAGGCATAGTAAAATAGATGCAGATCATGCAGTCGGAGTTGAAATGGTGAGGCAAAATTGAGTAAAGTACATACCCAGTTGACAAAATAGGCGACTGATCTCATTTCACACATGACCGATGCGGGATGGGTAGTACGGGGATTAAAGTATTGCACGAGAACAGCCACAAGTAGGGCAGTAAACAGAGCAATGGACTTGAGATGGTACGCCACACTTTCAAGTCAAAAGAAAGTTAAGAGATTTTCGGAAGCACTAAAAGCAAGTATTTCAAGATACTTTAGTTATGTCGCAGCCTAATTGTTAGTGGACTTGTCGTATCCTTAAGTCTGGGCAATGTCAACGCCACACCCTCATTGGTCAGGACTCACGTGGGCACCTGTGGCGGTGTATATATTCAGGCACCAAGGCGACAAACGTGGCTGAGTATAGAAGAGATAAGAAGATCGAAGGTCAGTGAGTATCTGTATATCTGTATAACTGTATAACCTGGAGATGACCTATGTGGGAGATTATATACATATGTATAGGTACTAAATGCTCAGAAGGGTCCAAGAAAACGTGGTGTGTGACACCTCCGCCTGTTCAACGTGCAATGTAACCATGCTTGGCCAATCCTAATATGTCTCATGTAATAGTATGTTAGCTTCTTGGGTTTGGATCTGCAATTCATTGCTTGGAAGCACGAGGTAGGAAGTATCAAGTACTCGTGATGTTAAGGATGCAACTCTCAACTCTCAAGAATGCGACATAGCCATCAGAAAAGAAGCAATACTATGTAGAATCACCATTGACTAGTCATGAGGACTCGTTTACTATATTCGTGGTTAAGAAGATCCTGAATATTCTGAAGTTCGAAGATCTCATGATTGGAAGTATCTGTATAAAACCCTGGTCAGGCGACTTACCTCGAATATGCCCACAGCATCGGATTCTTTCGGCAGCAGATCAACTAACCCTAAGTGATAGGCTTCCCAAGCCGAGGAATGTCGGACAAGCGGCAATCCCGGATAGTGATCTCGACAGAAGATGTACAATGATCGACTGAAACTACACGTGGAGTCAGTCTTTAACCCACTTGTCTACATGTGATGAATGTATGTACAATATATATGTTGCAAGTTAAAACTGCATGAAATGCGAGGTCTATATCCACAAATATAATATTAGATATAACTAGCACTCGGAGGCACCGAAGTTGATGTGCAACGATCGACAAAGCATCTTCTTCTAACCCCACCGGGCCTGGGAGCCATGAATGAATGCCGATCAAGACAAACAAGAGCCGAAGATACGAGGCCATCCCGGGAAGCGGGGGGGACATCTAGAAAGAGAAATGTGATTGGCCCGACCATAGAAACTTAACCCAAAGGAAACATCGGGAATAACGAAGAAAAGAACGAAAGAGAAAAAAAACAACGGCTGCAAATCCAATCCATCCATAGCTGAACTCGAGCCGCGATATGGCCGTTCGTATAGCTGATTGGATCTACACAGGCCGAACTAACGCCCTTAGCGTCGCAAGCCGTGTCGGAAATCTCTACATCGTATGCCAAGTTGATCCCGATCCACTTTGATCGTAACGCTTTTCTTTTACCCTAGATATACGGTGGATCGATTTCAGCTGGTATCTCTGCCTCGGAGCCCCAGGTGTCTGGTTCAAAATAAGCCTCTACGATGTGTCTTTTGTCCTTGCATTAGTACAGAGTATGTACCTGAAAGCAAATTCGTATTTGCGTCAGATCATGTGGGGCATTGGGGCATTAGGGCTATCTTCTGTTATGCACTTCATAACATCGGGAGAACATATATGTCCATACCAGTACGATGTATATTGTCCAATGTACACATTAGATCGGTCTTGTAGATTGAACTGTGTAAAACAATGGAATGGAATTGGATTGGATTGGATTGGATTGGATTGGATTGAGTTTTAGAACAGATATCTCATATCGCAAACAGAAATACAGCCAAAAAAAAAAGAAAACAAGAAGGATATCGTAGCTATAACCAAAACCACGCAAGTAATCCAAACTCATTTTGTTATTTCACTGAAAGGCAGTACACACGGCCAGCGCTATACCCACCATCCCACACAAACCCCTCTATTAAAAGAATCATATAACGCCCAACAAGGCTCACAAGCACTCAGTAATCAGCACAAGGCAAAAAATCCGAAAAAAAAAAAGAAAACCCGCAACCTCAACCCCCACGCAACATGCATTTGTTCCTATTTCCAATTTTCATTTCCATTTCATCACTTTACCTACCCGCAACCCAGCGATGGATCGCTTCCAAGGACGGGTCATCGTCAAGCCAGTGACCAGCGCGCAGATCGGCAGCTCGCAAGTCTGCCACGACATGCTGGTCTGTGAAGCGCGCCAGATCCTGATGGAGGGCGGCAGTTGCGCTCTTCAATGCTGTAGAGTGCTGGGCTGTTGGAGGGGAGCCGCGTAGAACACCGGCGCGCGCCATGGCCCATCGCCGGGCTGCGGCGGCGCGCAGGTAGATCTTGTGCGCTTGGAATCGGCGTGCGCTGCTGTCCAGTATAACTCTGAAGGATGATGTTAGCGTCTTCACATGATTGGATGTTCGGGTCTTGCTGTATACCTTTGTAGCTCGGCTTTCTCGGTCTCCGCGTTCCCTTGCCCTGTCACCGGGCAGGGTTGGTAGTTGGCGGACATTAGGGTCTGGGCTGAGGCTAGGGACTCGCGGAGTACTACGAAGCCATCTTCCCAGTATTCCTCTTGGGATACTTCGACCTGCTGTTGCGAGATGTGAAGTAGGAGAGTGCGGTAGTCGTTGATTATCTCGGCGACTCGCATAGCGCGGGCTTGATTGACTGCGCGGGTATTAGCAGATTGTTTGATTGGTTGGTTGGTTGGTTAGGGTAAGCTTACATCCGTCTGCCATGTTTCTGGTAGATTAAGCATATAAAAGGAAGGCAATGGATCGACGAGTAGCAATGATGCAAAAAGCTAGTATAAAGAACGGGCTGCAAAGATAACCAATGAGAGATGAAAGAAAGGCAATGGTCAGAGGAATTGTTGGCCCATGAAGTCGAGAATGTTAGGCCACCAACGGTTTCCGGGGGAAAAGAAGGAGAGATATAAGTCTTCAAAGATTGGAAACAGTGTCTCTCGTTACCCCATACATGATCAATGGGTGGACCAAAAGGGGAAAAAAGCCATGCTATAAAATAATAATAACATAAAACCAAGGGATTTCTCAGCCTACAGCGGAGCCGACGTCAGGATACATCACGAAGAGAACGAGCTGCACCAATAGACGCGCAAGATCCCACGATCAGGTAGTTCGGGTTGTCAAGCACAGCTGGGATGGGACGGGGCCACACCATAAGCTCCCGAAAAACCGTTTACGGCATGACAAGGGCCATCCTGATCCCAAGGAGAGGGATCGGTGGAGAAAAAGAGACCAGAAGAGACCAAAAGAGGCATCGCATACTAAAAAAAAATTGGCCTATGAAATTCCCAGTATCCCAGCTGTGGATTGGGAGTGGATAGCGTTGGCCCGCATATGAGATTAGGTTCTTGCGCCGATTTGGCGTTTCTGGTGCGAATAGAGAGATGGTGTTTCATGCTGCTGATTGGAGAATATTGAATGAACTACTGACTCAGTGGGGAGTCATGTTTTTTTTTTGGACTTTTTTCGTGTCGATGCATCATTCCCAATTCCTCGTGGGACCTCTGTAGAAATTCCGAAATAGAAAGAGTTCAAGGTAAAAGGGACAAGACCTCAGCCTTGGACCTGCATTAGACATTTCCTCGGACCTGAACTCGGACTTGACGTGTAGTGGATCTGACAAGTGGTGAACATGTTCAGCTGGTATATTGGCGAGTATTTGCCACACTTGTAGTCCAATCAGATGACGAGAACAGCCTCCTTGGATAATTTATCAGTAAGCCACATTGTGGCGCCCACAACTCCTAGTAGCTGTCTACCGTCTCCTTGCTGTTAGGTAGGTAACACTGTGATAATCTGGTAGCGAAGCAAGCCCAAAGTTTGCACCGGTGGATTCTCTACCTTGGAAAAGCTGGACAAGCTGGATATGATCTCGGGCCATCCGAAAGGGGTATCGCCGAGAGATGAGATTTAGTATAGCATCAAGGTAACGTGCAGGAAAATAATTGAGTTATCATTCACAGATCGTCTGTTTCTCTAAAATAAACACCGGAGTCCTTCCATTACTGGTCTCTTGCCTCCATAGCTTGGACCCAGCTCACTCAGTCCTTCTCGGCTATGGCTTGCAGCCGTTCATCAATCTCCTCTTCCGTCAGAGCACGGAACGCTGTAGTGGTCCCCTCCTCGCCGTCGGCCCGCGGCCCACCGACGACACCAATCTCAATCTCGTGCTTCTTGAAGTCGACACTTAGCACATTGCTGAGGGCTGTAATGCCCAGCTCCACAACCTCCTCCCAGCCACCCGGAGCCGCATCTTTGTTCTTCAGCTTCTTCTCCAGGTAGTTCAACGCCTCCTGCTGCTTGGGACCGGATGCTGTCGCCTTGTACCCAACATAGTAACCGGCCGGGTCACACTTGTAGAGCTGCGGGCCGCTCTCGTCATCCACAGAGATCAAGGTTGTAGCCACGCCAAGTGGTCGCATGTAAGCCTGCGAATTTCAAAGAGAACCATGTCAGCTATTCTGTCTCACTGGGTCGTACGGTGGCAGGAAATCCTACCCTTTGTGTGTAGACCTGGCTGATATTTGCCAGTCGCTTTGCCAGGACATCGCATGGCATCTCATATCCGAACTTGTACCGGAACTCAGCAGCCTCACCACGGGCCCGGTCAACGGATGCGCGAGCATCTGCTATAGAACCGGTCATCACACAGCCTACGGAAGGCGAAATGCGGAAAACATGTGAAACGGAAGACGGGTCGATCAATTTATCCTGGTAAACGGCGAGTGTAAGCGCAATCCCAGCGATAAACCAGGAATTCATCTTACAGCGACTTTCTTCTGCGAGAGTACCACGGCACAGTCCTTGCCCCTCACACCGATGGAGGTGATGTTGGCTGAAGTGATAGCCTTGAATGCATATTCTGAGATGTTTGGTCAGCGGTCATGATGACAGCGAACGAATTGAGGATGCT